CAGTGTGAAGTAATGCAGAAGGATGCCTGGTTTGCTGTGGGGTAATGCTGCTGTTTCAGGTGCTGGTACAGTCCATGGATTTAAAGGCCATCTGGGGACCCACCTCAGTGCCCCTCCAGCTGTGGGTAAGGGTTCCTTGAGACAGGGAGAGCCTTCTGTGTACGTAATGGGAAAGGAGTTCAAGGAGTCTGTTCTTCAAGTCCTTGTGTTTCTTGTGGAGGTGCTACCAATATTCTCCATCTAGTGGATGAAAACAACAAAACACCATGGCTACATCAAATTCTGCCTGCTGCATTTGCTAGCTGAGCAGTTCTTGCTTGGTTCTTGCTGGTTTTCAGCTGTACAAATTGTACCATGGTTGTGCAAGGTGAATGGGGAACTCGTGTTTGATGTGCATGGCCACACTCAGTGCTGTGGTTCCTTGTGCTGGGGTTGGGTTGGTACACACAGTTATATTCCTGCCTGAGGTTGCTGTATGCTGTGTTAGGGCTGTGGCCAGAGGTGGGCGATTGGAGTTACCAAAAGACACCCAAGCAGAACAATGTCCTTCTGATCCCTGGCTGAACCAAAGATGTCCATATATTACACCAACTTTATAAAGAGTTAAACTGAAACACATGTAATTTTACCATGAAATTCATGTAAAACAGTGCTTCTGCATCCCTTTTAAGGTGAGTTGAGAACAATAAAAGCTAATCAGAAGCTGGAAAAGATTAGTCTTTTTTTTTTTTTTTTTTTTTTAGTTTTAAATAGTGATGAGGAGGTGTAAAATATGATTTTTTTTTTCTATTTTTAGTTGTGAAAGTAACTTTTGACTTGATATATTGAGGGACTGCAGCTTTAGAGCATTGAACCCTGTGTTGTATTGCACTGCTGCTATTCTAGCTTCTTTGCATGCTTCAGTGTAATAACATAAGCAGTAATGTGGCTTGTTGGGGAATTAGGAGTTGGTGTAGGAAGGCTCCATTCCATCTGCCAACTGAAATGACCTTAACTTAGGGAAAAGTCAGGCTTTGGTGTCATGAAATTGTTGCAAGCCTCAGAGCTAGACTGAAAGAGCATTGATGTGTTCTGAACCTCCTAGTTCCATGAATAACTTCATGTATCCAATTAGGTGTTTCCCATCTCTCTGCACAGGACTGGTCTTGGGGGTTGTTTCCATTAAGATGCAGCACACTGGTTGCTGTGCCAGGCCATAACCTGGGCATATTGGTTGTTCTTCATGAGGATCTCATGTGAAAAGCTGTGTTTTGTGCTTGGAGGGCCTCTTCCATGCTTCTACATAACTTGCACGAGGGCAGATCTGCATGCTGTAGTCCCTCTGCCCCGTAAGCTCATCTCACTGGTGAAGCAGTCTGTGCACACAGAGGATTACTACCCTTACTGCATGTGCAAAATGCGTTGTGCCATTCAGCTGCCCCTGTATCATGTTATAGCTCTTGGCAAGATGAGGATCCTTGTCCCATTTGTGGTGAATGTTAGGCTAGGAGAGATGAACTGGTTGGCTGGCAGGGGTTGTACTTAGAGAAACACAACAAAAATGGTGTCTTTGAAAATTGCCCTTGATTGAAAGGAGGAGTGAAATGAAGAGGAACAACGCTTGGAAATGGAATGGCATTCCTCAGCCTTCTTTTGCACAGCTGGTAGTCAATTTTGGCCATCGTGCAGAGTGAATGATGGAAGTGTTTTATCAGTGTTGTGGGCCTGGTGGTGATGGGACTGGATGGTCATAGTGGGCTTTTCCAACCTAATGATTCTGTGCCTCTAACAGTGCTGAGAAGCCCCAGCGAGGGGAGTAATGATCTGCTCAAATAAGAAAAGTCCAAGTGCACGCTGTGAGCAGAATAAAGCTTTGGAGAACGTTGGTGTTTTTTTTCTTGAGAAATCCAGTGTTTGCCCTCACTAATTAACACGAGAGAAGATTGATGTTCAGCACATGTTCTCCTATGTTAACAAGTCACTGGATGTGTTTGGCTATATGCTTTGGAATGATGCCCTGTGATTTTGTAAGGCCATCAGATATTTCAGTAAATAGGTTTGTTTACAAGCGAGTGCTCAGAAGAATTATTCTGCATTAATGTTTTAAAATGGATTAATTAAATTAAACTCATGCATAGGTAAGGTAATTTAGAATTCAGCTGACCTGAATTTGATTTAGATGCTAACAAATAATAACTTACTTAATTAAACAAAGGCTACTTTAAATCTAGAGTATCAGGTGTATCAAGGGGGGATGAGAGTGCTCACAGGGATGCAATGTTCCACTGCCCTCCCCCAGGTAACACTGGGTTGGCCCTATAGGACCCAACCTGCGTGCTGCTGGAGGGAAGCAAAGCAGGCACGTTTCCTTCCCTGTTGAGGCTTATCCCAAGCTTTTTGCCTTTCTGTTTTTCTCTTATCGCTTCATGTTTGCTCCAGGTAATGTTTCATCATCAGGTTCTTAATGTGTGTACTTAATTTAGAGTCAGTGGGGGCAAGGCTTGCAGCCAGAAGGGGTGAGTGGGAAGGGCTGGGGACGTCTGGCCAACGTTAGAGGAAATATTTGGCTTCCAGAAACGGTAGTGAATACTTCACCAAGTAAAATACATGGAAAATGGATTGAGGAAATTGTTCTGAATTTGTAGGCTGAGGCTTTTCAAAGGAGGCAATCTAACTTTAATAGTATCAAATTCATCATTCATTCGCCCTTGGTTCTGAAGTCAAGCGTTGGTCATAGGGTTCTTTAGCCTGCTATGGAAGTTTTCAACTGTAAGTTGAAATTTGGAATTGGGTGGAGTTATTCCCAGTTATGGAAGCTGCTATGGCTGCAGCATGCAGCACAGCTCGCTCAGGCTCTGCTCCCATCAGCACCCTTCTCCATACAGCAGCTCGCTGAGTGCTCTGACAGCACAGCTATGTTTTGTTCCACCCACAGAGAATGCAAGAATGGGTTCTGTCCTGATGCTGGCCAACTGCCTAGCAGCAGTGTAGGATTCCTTGAAACTGTAATACAATGTGTTTAAATGGAAATAAATATTGATGTTACGAAGAAACATCGCCGTGTGTGTGTAAGGGCTGTTTTCCCCATCAGGACTTTGTAGACATGCTGTTATTTAAGGACTGGCAGAATCTTTCAAGGCTTATTTTCTGATCTGAGGCTGAGTACTTTGGGCTGTGACCCACGAGAGATGAAGAACAAAGGTCAGAAGCGTGAAATTACCCTGTGTTTGTGTTGCAGGCTGATTTAATTCATCTCAGTCATTTCACGATGAGTTTTGGAGAGCTAAGTATGTATTAGAATGGCTTGAAAGGAACAGAAATGCTTTGGAATGATTTACGAGTTACTGATGTGTTCGTGGGCGCAGCTGGTTAGAATGCAACACAAAGCATCAGCGAAATCCAACATTGTGTCAATGGCTGAAGTTCTCAAAGTTGGGTTTTGTTGTAGTCGGTCCATTTTTAGCGCTTCAGCGGCGGATGCGTTCAACTCGAGGGCCGGGTTCTCAGTATTGCAGCGTGTGACATTACGGACAGTAACTCGAGCACAGCTGCTTTATGATGTTAGGACTGGCTGCAGGCCAGGGTTTCTCAGAAATGGCAAATCTCATTTGCCAAATGGCACCCACACTCTCTAGGACATTGCCAGCTTTCTCGGGCGCGCAGCCACAGCCGTGCGGTCCCAGCCCGTTTTTCACCACCATCAGAATTGTAAATGACTCAACGTTGGCAACAGTGATATTTTGAGTAAACAGTTCTGAGATGTGGGGAGTCCCAGTGTGGAGATGGGTGCTGACATTGCACCGGGCCCCGAATCTTTCCCAAACCCCGATGCTCCCCCAGCACCCCGTGCTCCACTTGCGTGCTTTAATGGCTTTCTTGTGTTCCAGTGGAAGGGGGAAATCTTTATGCAGAGCTGGAGCTGGTTCAGAGTCAATGTTAGGGGATGAATTACCGTTTCCACTGGTAAACCTCAAATTATTTCACTTGTATTTTCTGCTTCAGGTTGGGAAAGGGGGGAAAAAGAAAAATAAAGTTGACTGATCTTTGTGTTTTATGCCCGTCCTTTTATGGCTGTGGGAATGAACAGATACGACCGATTCCAGTGATTTTAATTCAGTTTTAGAGGCTGAAAGTTTCTCTTAAAACTCTAATAAATAATGTTGATGGAGGGTTCCAAGGGAACAGGGCTGAGAAATCAGGAAATATTCTGAAAATAGCTTCATTGGAATCAGACAGTAGAAAAAACAGATTCAATAGCCAAGAAAAAAATGGAACTTTTGTTTCAATCACAGAATCATAGAATGGCCTGGGTTGAAAGGGACCACAATGCTCATCCAATTACAACCCCCTGCTGTGTGCAGGTCGCCAACCAGCAGCCCAGGCTGCCCAGAGCCACATCCAGCCTGGCCTTGAATGCCTGCAGGGATGGGGCATCCACAACCTCCTTGGGCAGAGAAGTCTACTTGTAATTAGCAGCAAGAGAGCTCCTGGTCCTCACTGAATTTTGAGTCCTGTTACAGACTGTAGGGGGTAGGAGCTTGTGTGTGCATGGATCTGTGCAGATTCGTGTGCTATTGCAACATCAAGTGTTGGGTCTGAGTGCTTCCAAGAGCCAGGTAATAGTTTGCAAATTAAAACCCAGCAATTTACAGATAGATTTGTATACTGTTACAAGCCTTTAAAGTAAAAGATGTCAATACATTGGAAAAAAGACATTTTCTTTTATGTTTTAAACCCATGGGACGCCAAATCACTGATGCTAACCCATCTCTTTATCCGTTGGGAATATGTAGAAAGACTCAGCAAGAAAGGCTTGCAGTGTGGTCCTGCTCCTACTGTAGGAAGGTTACTCGTAGAGGTGATGCCCACAGTGCAGCTGCTGTCTCTTTGATAAAGTTTCCAATTAGCACAGCAGTTTGTGCCATTGTATGAGCAGTTTTCTTTCATGGCCACTGAGAAAAAAGTGAGTGCTAAATTGTTGTATATCAGGGATTAATGCTCCTCTTGCTGCTGTTTTTCAGGATTGCATGTCTCGTAAAACTGCTTGTTTGGGGGCCTGCAGTGGTGTTTGACTGGACATTGCAGCCTGGTTCTGAATGATGTCAGAACAGGATTTGGCAGATGTTGTTCAGATTGCCGTTGAAGACTTGACTCCAGACAACCCAGGTACAGTATTACCCACTGACAAGGTGGAAATCACTCCTGAACTTTTTCTTCTAGAAATCTAAAGTGCTTATTAAGAGACAACCAGCTGAATTTAAACAGCTTTCTTTATGCATCTTTAATACCCTTTGGATCGGATTATTACTCACGTATAGATGAGTAAGTGTTGGTAGAAATGAACAGTAACCACAGTTACAGAAAATATAACCTCTTATCAAAAAACCTTCTTCTGATGCTGAGGGAAAAAGTTTGTTTAGAAATGTTTCCCAAGAGCTGGAGGAGCAGCTGAGAGCCACCTGCCCCAACCTGGCTGGGAACCTGCTGGGCAGGATTATCATCCACAGCACGGTCTGCATAGCCAACTATTTATTTGGGAAAGCCTGCAGCATTTTCTTAATCTGTTTTGGGGAAAAACTATCTATTGCTACCCTGCATAGAGTGGGGGAAATCCTGTGTTTGTTAGAACTTCATTAGCACTGCTTACGGTTTTGTAGAGTGTTGGGGTTTCAGAAGCCAGTGGATCTGTCGAAGCAGAACAGCTGATGTGGCAACTCTGCTTCCTCATGGTGAGTTCCTAATTAAAAAAGAAGAAATATCCAAGGTAACACCCAAGCTTTACGCCCTCAGTGGGGCTGAAATTGTCTTAGATCTGGATAATAATTTCTTGAGAAGTAGTAAGCTTTGTCATAACTTAACACAAATAAGTTTGAAAAGAAATAACAGTATGTTTACCAGACTCCTTTTATATTCATTGATTTGTCCATTTAATGCATTTGTAACTCTTGTCTCTTGTAGTATGTGCTGTGGCATATTTTTCTTTGCAGTTGTGTTGGCAAATCATGAAGTGACAGATGATGATGTAGAGCCTACTCTGAAACGTCAGCGCATAGAAATTAACTGCCAGGATCCCTCTATTAAGGTTACCACCATATCTTTTTCTGTTTTTATTCAAACAACCAATTAAGTAAGCTTTCCTGGGGAAAACAAACCCATTATATGTAATTGTATGTCTCTGTGTAAGATTGGGATTATAGCCTTCTTGCAGTGGATGTTCATTTCTCTGCAGAAGTTTTAAAATCTAGAGAATTGGTAAATCTCTCTGTGTGAAATCAATAGCTAAAAGTTTATGTGCAAAATAAAATATAAGCAGAATTGATTCCAGTGACCCAGACATCATTTTGATGGAGTAAACTTGACCTAGAGGATAAACTTGATATCGTGTATTACAATGCCCAGATATGGTTTTATATATACATGTTTATATATACATATTTTTATCATCATTACAACATGCAGCTACTTATGGTGTGTTTAAAATTATTTCTTCAGCTAACAACATTCTCCTGAGAGTTAAACTGTATTTGGTTTAGGCTCAGTTCGAGCTTCCCATGCTGACCTGGTGCCTGTCCTCCTCTTGGGCATCCCAGCCATGGCAAGGGGTTGGAGCTGGGTGATCTGTGAGGTCCTTCCAACCCAAGCTGTTCTCTGCTGCCCTTACTGGTGTATTTTAGTCGTGATTTTGTCTCGGTGCTTAAGTGAATGAGTTGTATTTTGCTGCCGTGCTTGTTCAATGGTATGTGATTCGATACAGAAATTCTGTCATAGAAAGTGGAGCGCTATAGAACGGCCGGATGGGCTGTGTGAATTGTAGCTATGGGCCACAAGATGGCGTGGTTGCTGTTTGCAGAGAAGCACTTGTACCGTTACCCTTCAGTAGCCTGTATTTCCCCAAGGGAAGCCAAGTGGAGTATGCTTTCTTTTAAATCAAATTGCTTAGGAAAACAGATTTTATTTATTTGCTTTTCCTGACTTGCTGTTCAGGAGAAAACCAAAGTGAGCGGCGTTTATCATCTCTGAAGTGATTTGTGTTGAAATAATTTCCACTGTAATCATGTGAATTTATCTGTTTGGACAGGAAAAGAAATCTTAACTTTATCCAGAAGGATGCTTTCAGATGCTTATAATCCTTTTGTTTTCAAATACTTTGAATGAAAGGCACTGGCATGTTATTTTAAATGATTTTGTGGTGTATGAAATCATACTAACAAAGTGCTTAGGTGCAAATGTGTTTGGCTTGGATGCTTTTGGCATCTAAATAAGGATCTGGATCAGTCTGAGAATGCTAAAATGCTCCTGGATGTCATCAGTTTTGTCCGTGGCTGAATTTAGTCACTAGGCACACTGCTAGTTACTTTAGAGTTGTTTTCCAGTCACATTTATCTGAGCTTCCTTCTGTGTGTGTTGCTTGAAGATAAATGTGTAAGTTTTTAAAAGCAGTTTCTCTTGCTTTCTCCCCTTTCTAGTCATTCCTGTGTTCCATTAATCAGACAATATGCCTGCGACTGGATAGCATTGAGGCAAAGTTGCTGGCTCTAGAGGCTACCTGTAAATCACTGGAAGAGAAGTTGGATCTTGTCATGAACAAACAGCACAGCCCCATCCAGGTCCCCATGGTGGCAGGTTCTCCTCTTGGCGCTACACAGACCTGCAATAAAGTACGATGGTAAGAAAATAATAGAAATAATGTTGTAAAAATAACCTAAATCCCTTTCTCTGGCATCCAGCTCGATGGTTTTCCATGCAGCTGTCAGGATCTCAGTGTGCTGCTTATGAGTGTGGAATGAATTTCTCAAAGGTAACTTTTGTACCGATGTCAGGATGTTACTTCTAGTTAGAGTAAGACTAATCCCATCACACTGATCCACGGACAGTTTGCAACTGTTTCCACGTTTCATTTTGGCTTGAACAAGACAGATTCATCCATCTCTGGAAAAGTCACATCGGCTGTTTTAAATGGTTCGAAGATTTGCTTTTATTTATTTATCTGGTTGCTTTGAGTTAATGAGTTCATCATTCTGATTACTTCACATTTTTATCTGCCAGAAATACAATGGAGATTGTTTCATGTGCTTGTTTTCTGAAGACTTTCAGTAGAACAGTACCTGTTTTTGTTTTGGAGTTAGAAATCTGAGGTGGAGAATCTGTTGAATAACTAAATCCACCTTGATGAAGGGGCAGGTTTGACCCGGAGCACCTTCATGAGTTGCCTAATGTGGTTCTAAGTATCTGAAACACTGATGTGCCTATCATGTAACCATGGATATTTTTCCAGCCAGAGGAATATGATGATCAAGAGACTTTTTTGCGTAACAACTTTTCCATCACTGATAATTTTATTCCTAGGAAAAACTTAATACTTCTCTAAGTAATTACTGTTTATTTTCTATTGTAACTGTGTAACATCCATCAACAGCTTTCTCATAATACCACTGTAGTCAAAGTACACAAATGTAAATTGTCTTTTGTCAGTCAGATTTTCCACTTTCTGATCTTTTTCATCACCCATTCCGAACTTAATACTTGAAAAGCACTTTGATAAGTTATGCTCAGTGCAGTGTTCTGAGTGCTCTGCTTTAGAGCTCCACAGAAAACATTAATTCCTTTCTTTTTGTTGTGAGAGACGTCCATCTGAGATAAGCAGACACAAACCAGCAACATTAGCCTTTTTCTATTATGCCACCGCTTGCTCACTGCTGTATTTTATTAACTTCTATTATTGATATTTTAATAATTGATATTTTAGGTTAAGGAATGTATCTCAAGCTCATAATCACTTTTTATTATGATATCTTGCAGTTCATGCCTTTATGAGACAGGGTGGAATATAAGCTTGTTATCATAAGAAATGAATGTTTCCTGCCAGGGTGACCACTCTAAACAAAAGCATAGTTACCCATGGCTTGTCAACCAGCTGCTAAATAACAGCTGACTAAATATGAAGAACCTGTGCTTATCTGTATTTGGAAATAAGGCGGTCAGAGTTTCAAAACTAAAAGAATGGAGGGCAAGGAGTGCTAGATCACACAGAGCTGTGTTGGGCTTTGAGAAGAGCCAAGAACAGCAGCAGCGTAACACCGTGAGCTGGTCGTGGAATTGTCCTGGTGCTGGGAGCTGTGTCCAGCTCTGTGCAGCATTAGCACAGTCCTGCTTTCCCCTCCACGAAGTGATTACGTCTCTTCCTCTGTCTGCAACGTTTCCTGCCAATGTGGCCATTAGAAATACCTAATTACTTTTCTTTATGAGGTACCATGCTGTTTGAAAATCCCGGTAGCTGCTGAAAGCTTCTTGGCTAGCAGAGCTGGTGCGGTGCCTGATGGCCGTCAGAGTGGCAGCCCCACATGATAAGTCTGAAATGCAGCGTGTGCCCAGCCCTGAGATTTATAAGTTGATGAACGTATGGTGTGACAGCACAGCTGAAATCTTCTACCCGTGTTTTAAAGAAAATCTTTCATCTGAAAGGTTTCAGTCCAGAAACAGCGTTACTTTGGTTAGCATCTTTCCATTAATCATTCCTCTGACTGAGTAAGCCCAAGTATAAATGGTTCAGGTTGATTGCTTTAGATAACACAGGAATTTGTTTTGGTTTCTCAGAACTCTCTCTCTCATTTGTTTTTCTGGATGCGTTCTGCCAATGTTAGTTGTGCAATTCTGCTGTGTTCTCAAGGATGTAATTTTTTTATTGCTGTTAAATGGAGGATAATGGCTTTTGAAATGTATTGATTTTGGAGAGGATTTACATTTAAAATTGGTATTTTCTTCATAGTCGTACAAACATTTCTGATGAAATATGGGAATTTGTATGTAAGTAGTCTTTCTCTTCTTTTCAGATCTTTCCTTTGAACCTTTGTCATGGTGAAGTTAAAATAGAGACCATCTGGTTCTTTACCATATGCCTTTGGGGCAAACCAATTGGGGATATACTGATCACCAAGGGTGGAGATAGAATTTCATGTATTTCTGCCTTTAATGGGAGAGTCCAATGGAACTGCAGAGTTTTATGCAGTCAGAATTAGTGTAAGGGCCTGGCATGGTGTCATTGAGTAAGACCTGCTTGGGGATGGATGTTGGCTAACTCAAGCTGCATGTTGCTGTCCTGGCTGCCATTCCTTTCTGGTGGTGGTTGGTTTGGTCAGCTGGTTCTAGGACACCGCACTTGTCTTTTTTTTTCTTTTTGTCTCAAGGTATAAAAAGATCTTTCTGTGCAAAAGAGAAGGCTTGATGCAGTTGTGTACCAGATAGGGTGTAAGAACTTCTGTATTTTTGTAGGTGTAGATCATTAATACGTTTGTGACCAGTCAGATTAATGAAGGTATTGGTATAAAAACCAAATACCTGGCGTTTTTCATATGTATTTCTATGAATTACAACTCCCTTAGCCAACCTAATTTCATGTTATCAGGAGTCGAATGGCTTTTTCATTTTTGTTGCCTCTTTATCATAAGGATTGTTATTGATTTTAATGAAGTATCCAACAATACTAATCCAGGCTTTCAAAAAGAATAGTAATTCTTCAGTTCTTATCATTATATAGTGGCTGCTGAGGCTCTGGGGAATGTAGTTAACCTCTTTTCCACATAGAATGGCCTGGGTTGCAAAGGAGCACAGTGCTCATCCAGTTCCAACCCCCTGCTGTGTGCAGGTCGCCAACCAGCAGCCCAGGCTGCCCAGAGCCACATCCAGCCTGGCCTTGAATGCCTGCAGGGATGGGGCATCCACAGCCTCCTTGGGCAACCTGTTCCAGTGCCTCACCACCCTCTGTGTGAAAAGACATCGTTCATTAAGTTACTCTCTGAGTTTAACTTCTGGCTGTTTTTTCTTTCCTTTTATGATTCATTGATAAAGTAGATCAGCATTGTAAACCTTTGGGGAAGTGAATATCTGGAACCAGAGGTAAGAGCTGACGGCTCCTTCTGGAGAGTCTGAAGGTGTTTCATTTGCACATGGAATTTTTTCAGGTTGCCACAACTTGAAACAAAGCAGATATTGAGGGGTATAGTGTCATGAAAGACATATGGCATAGGGTTTATTTTTCAAGTTACAGGTACCTTATTCTGCCTGCCGTGAGCCTGATCTCACACACTGAACTTACGCCTGGAAAAATATTTCTCTGGTTCCACGTTCGGCCCTGAAGACAACTCAGCAGCCCTTTGTGTTGGAAAATATGTAAAAGTAAGCCAGGTTCAAGGGAAAAAAAAAAAAAAAGTCTTGAAAAGACATTGCATTGTTTGGGGTGGTGACCAGAACGTATTTGGAGAATCTTTGGGAAATATTTGGAGTTCATCAGCTTTTCAGAAATTCTTGTCACTTTTTATAAGCAAACGCTGTGTGTTTATCCATTGGGATGTCTGATGGTGGGGCCTCTTTCCAATGGAGTGTTCAGTGCAGCCCTTGAAGTCTGGGAGTGGCTGAGAAAAGCACAGATGAGCGTCTGTCATGGTTTGGGACCAGACCCTGTGCTATCAATCAGCTAACCAACATTCCCCCTTATTTTCTGTAGTCGATCAGCGGTGTTGTGTGCAAACAAACTTGTTTTAAATTAGCAGTTGGAGTGTCATACCTGCAGCTTCAGCCAGTAGGAGTTCTGTTTGTAATTAATGGGATTGTGTCATGAAGAACTGAGGGGAGCCGTGCTGCCCTTGTGTTGAACAACTCTTTGTGCACCAGTCCAACCCGTAGGCGTTGTGCATAGGAAGGAAGATGGCAAATCTGTACCACTTCAGGTACACCCCCAATCAGGGGACGCAGTCAATGTTAATGAAATAATAAAAATATAATAATAATAAGCAAAATAACTTTGGCATTTTGGAAAAACACACACAAAATCAACAACAAGAAAACAAACCGTTTTAGACAAAGCTGAAGTCTCACTCAAGGAGACAGGTCTTTGTAATTGCATCATTTGCCCCAAGATGCTGTTTATTCTCTTATCTTTTTTTGGCTGTTGCTTTCAATTCTACCGCCTCTTTTCCTTAAATCCCTCACAGCAAAGATATAACAGAGGGGTGGGTTTCTTACACACCCATTTTTGAGTATGCAGGCATACACGTAGTCATTAGTTTTCAAGTGTGAGGTGTGAGCTCTGTGGTTTTCTTGAAGGAAGGAAATTAGCCACCTGCTCCTTACAGTGCCAGCAAGCATTCAGCTGTGTTGTAGCCTGGAGGAATTGTTGTGGCTTGAAATACATAAATTAACAGATTACATCCCCAAATAACTTGCTGAGGTGTAGTAGGTGTGTTTGTCTGAAAATTAGCTTCTCTTACGACTGCAGTTCAATGTCAGGAACTGAATTGAAGCAGAGTGCAGTTCTGCATTGAGACAGCAGCCCCCCGATCCTGAGCTGCATAGCATTGGCTTTTGGCTGCACTGTGAGCAAAGTACTTAATGTCTGATTCCCTGGAAAACACTGTAACCCTTTCCAGAATCTCCCAGTCTGTCAGAAGAGCTCGTCAGCCTCAACTTCTTTAGAGTGAGTCTGCTCCTCAGTGGTAATCATTCCGACTGACTGACATCTTTCGAATGCACGGACACACACGTTTCAGTTGCTGGTACACGCTGTAACTTCAGCAAACCTCTGTGATTCATTATACTTGGGACTGACACATCCTTATATTAAAAATAGTTGAGGAACTCTCCCGACTCTGATTTCTATTGCAGTTTGCTGTA